GTCGATCGTTCCAGCTCGTTTTTTTACTGGCCAGACATAATGGTCTCAGTCTTCAGTCAGCCACGCGAGTGGACAGCCTGGTACAATCAATGAAATGAGGCTGACATAACGTGCAAACAAATCAGTACGAACCTCTATAATACTGAGACATAAGGATACGCCGACCACAATGATGGCACAGAATCCTTGGGGGTCATTCAAGGCTGTGTCTGTGCTTTTGACGTTGTTCTTGTCGGGAGGCACTTCAGGGATCACCCATGGACAAGGTCAATCATCAACGGTGATGCAACCTCCCAGGGCTGTCAGGATGGAAGTCATTGGCTTGGACCAAAAAACTGACAGACTCCCCAAGGATATGCCTTAGTAGTATCCGCACGGGTACATGTCGCAGTTCTTAGTCGTGCAGCATGATTTACCTCTGTTGTTCGGATACTCGATGGCCTTGTTATCCTGTTCACCACTTCTTACGTACAGAAAAGCAGCCTTGAGGTGTTTCCTCATCCTTACAAACCTGTACCTGTCATTGGCAGGCTTGGCGTTAAAAATGCGGCCGTAGTCCCTGGTTCCAGATGGCGATCTGATAGGGCACCATCAACAAGGGTGCAACAGTGGGAGAGGACACTCATGTCCCAATGAAACCCTTGACAGAGGCGCCGCGGAGCAGCAACCACCGGATCCGTCCCAGCCACTGGCAGCAAATGAAACGGCTTAATGATGTCTTGACGCTTGGATCAAGTCCCGCTCCCAGCAGCCTGTGTGGGTAGTCGCGTGGCCGAACCCAGCAATGAACGCCTCTGTGGGTCATGGCTGTCAGGAGTTGACTCTGGCTCAACAGTTTATTTTGTCTTGTCATCGACATCATGACGATGTATGGTGGATATTGAACATTCGTTCTCGAGACTCAAACTACGGGCGAGCTTGTGGCAAATTTCAGGCATACACGTCCTTGATTCCCTGTTTTCAGCTCTGCCATCCTGCATCAAACCAGATCATACCATCAGAGTCTTTGGATAACTTGAGAGGATGGTTTCCACCACTGCTATTTAGTACAACCACAGATGAGCCTCCGATGCTTCTGCTAGAGGCCCTAGAGACCTGATCGAGTACTGATCATCCTGAAACGATCTACCTACTATTACAGGCCTATGTTTTTACCATGAGACCTCCGATTACTCCGCCAAACCAGTTCGAGACCAAAACAGCCCTGAAATGATCCAACAGTTGACTATACCCTGTTGGTTCAACGCTGCATATTTTGGTACCCTCAGTGCATGAAGCTTGCAGACGTGGTGCTAAGTGATACCATGCAAGCTAGCCAGAACTAACTCTGCAAGCTCCATCTTGCACATGCAGGTTATGTATGCAGTACTATAACGCTGCATAGTCCTGTGCGGTGATATTGGTGTTGCTCCTCAAGCCTCAACGCCTTGATTATCGGAGCCGGCACCGACTTTCGTCGGCGTTAACAAGCCCTGCCGTCAAGGTCCATGTGTATCTGAGCACAGACAAAACTATCCTCTTATAACTAGATGGTGAGTGGTAATGGAGGAGCCCTGGTTATCGTAGACCAGGAGCTTCCCGCCAAGCTAGCTTAGTTATTTTCTGGAACGTGCCAAAGCCACGAGCCAATAATCCGAGTGATCGGGTCGAGCAGACTAACTTACTTGAACGTCGTAAACTTACATGCCGAATACTTATATTCTTTAGGTTCCCTTTACTGTTCGAAAACACGAATACCTCGATTCAAGAAAGGCCCGCATAATCCTAGACAATTTGTGCCAGAGTGCAGTGGACAGGAAACACGCCGCCAGTCTGGAGGATTACGGTGTTGGCCCTGGTCTAGCCAAACGCGACAACCAACAAACGGCCCACAAAGAATACAGCCCATTTCACTCAGCTCCCACCACTTATGCTCAAATCGTCTTGGGTCAGGTCACCGAATTTCCGCAGTACATTGATCCGCTTTGGCCGAGTTGCCAAGCATCAAGGGACATAGTATTTGATCCATCTCCTCTAACAAAGGCTACATCTTCATTATGTATCACAGGTGTTGGAAACCGGATGCAGATCGAAAAGCGTTCAAGCCCGAGCATATGCTGGCACTCTTGGTCAGCGCGCGCTTCGGAAGATTTATATCCTTGTTCATGAGTCCTCCACTTCTCTTCAAACGTTCTCTTTCATCCTTCCTCGACAAGATGTGGACTAAAGCTACAATGTACTTGGATCTGATACGACCATATAGTCCGTCGGGGTAACTCTGACTGGGGCATTAGTGATTTACAAGAGCATTACTGCAAGTGTGATCTGACAGATCGAAACCAACACTATCACGGCCAGCGTCTGTAGTTGCTGATGAAGTGGGTGTAGAACTCGGCACTACAATCAATTGATTCCTCGATTCACAAACGCAAGCCTTCGTCAGGATTGAACTCAACCCAAAACTAACCGGCACTCCTTGGCCGTCTCCATATCTAGGGAGTAAGGGCTCTCTTACAGCTGTTAGGATCTTGATAGGATGTGAGAGCTTCTATCAGAGCGAAAGATGGTTGCAGCATCGTGCGAAGTGCAATGTCCGAGAAGGAGCCAGGGTGCTATCTAATACGGATCCCTGAAGTTCTTTTGTTGCTGTTGTATCGATACAACTGAGGCATAAAATCTCCAGCGTCCACGAAAGGTCTTCACCTATGGTGTTTTACCTGTTTCAAAGCCGTTTCACGTACCGGAACCAGGATCATTCAAAGGACGAGAGCTTGCGTTGGGCATAGCTATCCCAACCACAGCAAATTGGCATTGGCGGAGTTTGTCTGCATTATCGTCACCGCTAGACCGTTGAGGGGTTGCGGGGAGGGTATGGTGGAGATGGATCAGAACCGCTGCCAATATCGAGCCTCATTTTCGTTCATCCTTCAAGATCCCAGGACTTCCCTTGTAACAAGATGTGGAAATTGCAGCAAGGCATGCTTTTCAGCCTGAAAGTTAATCGGTGGGGCGCGGACCCGAGTCTCCGGCTTGCTTTGTCTTCAGCATTATCCGTCAATCTGGTCCCAGGCTTCTGTGGTAGAGCAAAGTGAGATAACTATGCCTGTATGCCATGCTACCAACAGTCCCATATGGTTGTCTGAGGGGACGGTTGTGCCTCTATCTCACTGCATTTCACAACTTCCTTTATGGGTATGGAGTTCCGACCTGGGCTAAGATTTACGGGCTTATGACAGTCGTTTTAATAGACACCTAAGACATGTCGTAAAGGCGTCGACGCACCTCTGACACGCTGAGACTCGATCTGGCTCAGTGAGGCCAAAATGGTATAATCAAGCAATTTCTTTTGCCAGTTACAGTTACCTGTTGATCCCTGCTTGACAGCTTCGTGGCTCTTCTGGGCCAAGTACAGCAACCATTTGTGCTTACTTCTACTACGAGTCAGCGTGTCGGCACGACAGGGAAGCCAGGAATGGATGCTCTGGATGAAAGCAGAAGTATCTCCGACCAGCCTCATGGCGATCAATGCAGCGAGGATTTTCTGGTGGTCGCAGCCGCCATGAGGAACACCAGGATCAGACGGGAATTGACCCACCTCTTCAACAAACTACCTGGTAACTCCGGGACTTACTTGTGATTATCAAAGACAACATTACGCTGCTTGACAGCGCACAGTGTTGCAGTCAAAACAAAGCATGAATTCCCAGAGGAGCGCGCTTGTTTTGGCCAATAAACTCGTAGAATCGAGGGCTCTTCATCAGGGTTGAGCAGAGTAATCCTCACTTCTTATTCGATACCTCTACCCCAGTATAGCTGAAGTGAGACCGTTGGCAGTTGATACATTTACCGTCAAGTGTCTTTCTTGTTGGTGGCACCAAGGTTCGACGACGGTACGACCAAGACAGTCAAAGAGGGTCCCTGGCGTTGACAGGTTTTGGTGGGAAACGGCTGAACCGTTCCGCTGGTGACCCTGCTCGGTATTTCTTTCTCTCCGACCAACTCAGATCCCCCGAGGAGGCTGCAGCATTCAAGTGCTGCGAAAGCATTTGTCTATCTGGTTGGCCGACACGCGTAATCCATGATCGGCGGCGCGTCGCAATTAGCATGGCATCTTTCACAGTAGTGTCTCCTCCTTCGTTATCAGATCAGGGAGGAGGTATGTCTTGTATCCTTGGAAGAACGGTACATATCACTCATGCTATGTGTACGATGATATCAAACTACATCGGATAGGCGGGACGACTAAACGCAGAGCAGCTGTGCTGAGCGGCTACGCATTCCGGATCCTGTGGAGAAGACGTGTTTGTCAAAATGCGTGCCTAAGTTACAGGGGAACAAGACCCTGTCTCTTTGCATAAAAGAGTGGATGTGATGGGTGCTTGCTTGCTAGCTTTTCACGTTTCCAACCCTACCATTCCAGTCCAGCACGAGGCAACCTGGCCTAGCAGAGTTTTATATCGCGACATCCATGGCATTGAGAGAGCTCAAGCAAGGGGATTGTTTTGAGACTCCGAATATCCCGGTCGTAATTTAAAACGAAACGATGCGATAGGTGCGCTCTGGGAGGGGTTTCCAATGAATCGGAGGCCCGTGGCCGCCGAAGGGGTACATCAGTGAGTAGTTGGAGATTCAGCATCCTGGACCTATCATGACACTTGAGGGGAAATGAAAACTCGAAACAAACCTAAATCACTAGTCGACCCTACAGTGTGTGGGCTCACATACGTACGTACGTACATACACATACATACAGCAAAGGCCACCACAACTTGGTCGACAACAACAAAGATCTGCAAATACTCAATCAAGAACAAGACCGATCAATATCGGACTAGCACGTCAACGTCCACTTCAGCCCTCAGATCTTTGGTTCCCCCCTATTGCACAGCTCGTGCGAGAGGCGCTTTGCTGTGCATGCACCTCTGAGGTTAACTCAACTCAGCCCAGCTCAACCCAACTCAACTCAGGCCTCCCTCCCTAGTGTTTAGCGCAGTAGCGCAGTCCCCTCACCTCGACGGCAAATGGCGGATTTGATCCCGCGCCTGCAGGGCTATCTTACCGCTGCAGGTCGCGATTCAGCCCTCGCCCAGCGGCTGAGCAATATGACAACTATGCTTTCAGGTATACGCATCCGTGATGGAATGGTTGCCACTAGGCACTTTGTGTGCAACCTAGACGCCGTGTCGCTCATACTTCTCACCGTCACCCTCGTCGCTTTTCTCGTCCCCGTCTTGATCCTCTTCCCTCCCGTTCCCGTGGATTGCAGCGATGTCCTCCGTCAGACCCACTCGCGGGCCGGCGTGGCCCTCCGAGACATGGACATCGGCCCTGGCAGATCGCCCGATCGCCGGCTCCCCGGGGCAGAATCGGAAGGGAACCGGGCTGCTGCACACAGTCCGCGTATTTTCCCTGTTCAGTCATGTCGTGGAATTGAGCTAGAGCGTGACGGTGCCTCATTCAAGCACTCAGAGTTTGATCGTTTGTATACGCTTGCTCAACGGGACTCTGAAGATGTTTGGCAAGCCATCTCACGCGAACACTTCCCTTTGCTGGCCAACATCGAAGTCGACCTCTGGATTCCAGATCCAAACAAGACTAGTCGTCTGTTGGGCCATATCGAAGGTTCCTTTCTTGTCTTGAGATTCCCCTGGTCAGATTCAGGACTACAGGGTATTCTGCAACAAGTAGCAGCCAAAATTAGCCACGGCTTGAAAGCCAGACCTGAAAAGGAATTCTTGTTGCCAGTGTCATTCCCGAACGAGGAAGAAATTCGAGGAAGAGGTTATTCCTTTGCCGAAGTCACTATCGGCGGAAAAAATACTATGGGACTGAACATGGATGTTGAACTTCCTGCCGAGCTGGCTCGGTATCTTGGTTCTGAGCAACAAATTGGGATCTTCAGGGTAGACCAAATGTAAAAATATGAGAGGTCCGGAGCAAGTTGACCAACATATTGACAAATTGAATAGTATGGATCATGATTTCTTATGTCCAGGGTAATCTACTCCTGGAGACAGTTACCTGACATTCAATATCATTTGAGGAGGCTCGAATCAGATGAGTCTAATATTCACGATCATATCATGCGATCAACTTATCTCATGGATAATGAAGCACTGTCAAAGCAATCGATAAATTGCAGGCCATGCCCTAACGTTACTAAATCAAACGGTATCACATGGTATCCCAATGCCCAAAATACATCATACCTCTCCATCCAGCCCGACTCCTCATGTACAAAACCCGGTCTAGTCCCTGTCATACACTCATTCCAGACATTTCCCAGTTGCCGTCAACATCATTACTTCATCTCTGCTGGCGTGAGACTTTGCACCATACTGGTGCCTTCGCTGAAGCGAGTGCGGAAAATGCGGTTCGCGTTCTGGAACATGCCGTCTTTCAAACTGACGACGATGAACTGCGATCCCTTGAATCGGGTCTTGATGAGACGACCGATGTTCTGGGTATGTGAGAGATCCAGCGCGGCATCAACCTCGTCAAGAATGTACATAGGGGCAGGCTTGAACTGGAGCAGAGCCATGATGAGAGAGAGAGCAACCAGAGACCTAAAAGTCAAAGCATTAGCCTTTGCATGTCAGGAATAGCCAGGGGTTGCATACCTTTGTCCACCACTCAGTTCCGTCAAACTCTGCTTCCACACTTTACCAAGACAGACCTTGACTTCAAGACCATCGCTAATAGTCTTGCCCTCGGGAGGATCGAGCTTGGCAAAGCTGCCTCCAGGAAGCAACTCGGAGAAGATGTTACCAAAGTCACCGTTGACCTTCTCCCATGTCTCGTGAAGGGCCTTCTTTTTGTAGTCATCCAAGCTGACGATCGTCTCTTCGATCTTGCGCTTGTCCCTGATGACAGTCTTGATCATGTGCTTGAGCGACACCTCCTTCTTCTCAACACTGTCGATCATGTTCATGACCTTGGGGTTGATCTTCTTCTTCATGCCCTGGAAACGCTCAGTCAAGTTGTGTAATGTTGACTTGCACTCTCCAATGTTGTGGTTCTTGAAGTCATAGGGGGTTCCGCTGCGACCAAACTTGTCCTTTTCGTCCGCGATCCAGTCGAACTCCTTCTCGAGTCGGGCGACCTTTTCGGCAGCACCTTGTTGCTCCTTATGGAACTTCTCCACAAGATGACCAAGCTTCTGCATTTCGAGACTCTCCTCAGCAATGCGTGAGTTCTTGGAGCGAGTGGCATCTTCCAAAGCTCGAAGTTCGTCATCGAATTGATGCAGCTTGGCGCGTTCATCATCAAGCTCAGCCTGAACGGTGTCATGCGTCTCCTGAAGTTCAGCCTTTTGCTTTGCTAGGTCTTCAATGTCCTTCTGTTGGGCCTTGATAGCGATCTCAACTTCTTGTAACTGTTCTCGAGCAGCAGATAAATCAACACCCGCTTGCTCGGCGTCAAGTTGTGCACCCTGGAGTTCCTTTTGCAGAGTCTTTACGGCGGCCGCGTTCTTACCGAGGCCAGCTCGCAGCTTATCAAGTGCCTTCTGCAGTTCGACGAGCTTGGCGTCCTTGTTGTTGTCGAAGTCACTCATATCCTTCTCAATGGTCTTAATATCTGCGGCTGCCTTGGCTTGTCGAGTCTTGGCCTCGGATATACTCTCTTTGAGTTCTTGGATGGTTGACTTCATATTCGCCACTTCCTGTATGATGGAAGACGAAGAGTTGCCGCTGATCTGCTCCTCAGCAAGTTTGATCTCGTGGCTCTTGAGATCCAAGTCTTGCTTGATTCTGCGAGCTTGGTCTAGCTTGGCCTTCTCCTTGGATATGCGGGCTTGGAGCTCTCTCAAAGCACCTTCGGCTTCGCTCAGTTGACGAGTCAGGCCGTTGAGCTTCTGGAGAAGTACCAGAACACCGCTCGAGTTTGGTGAGCTTCCACCAGATAGTGTACCAGATGGATCGTACGCATCTCCTTCAAGAGTGATACTCCTCATGCGCACGTTCGGGTCGAACGTGACCCTCTTAGCAGTATCTGCATCAGCACAGATCAGAGTATTGCCAAAGACATACTCCATAGCTGCTGACACTTCATGATCATAGCCGACTAGGGACAGCGCCAGATCAACCTTGCCAGGTGCGATCTTTTGAGCCGTAGCGATGGTTTGTGCCGAAGCTTTGAAAGCAGCGATCTTGTTGAGAGGAATGATAGTGACACGCTTTCGAAGCTTGCCCCTTTGTAGCAGCTGTGTACCTGTCACCTCAGTATCAACCACGACGTTGTATAGGCGTCCTCCAGCGCAGATCTCCAACGCAGTGCCGGCCTGAGTGTGCTCCTTGTCCAGAGAAAATAATTGAGCGACAAGACCCTTGACCTTGGAACGGTCAAAATTGGGCACAGGATCCGCGTAGTTGAACTCTGTGTTGGCGACTTGACGCTTCAGCTTGTCAGATTCTTGCCTCAAATTGCGAATGGTTTGTTGCAACTCTGACTCCTTCTTGAACATCTGCTCTTCCTGACCAGGTTCGAAGCCCAATCGGCCAAGTTCTTTCTCCAACTTTTGGGCTTGTGCCTTCAGGCCTTCAAGATCGCGCAGAAGATCGGCGTTCTGCTCCTTGGCCTTTTTCGCACGAGGCTCTTCTTCCTTGATACGCTTTTCCAAATGCGCAATCTTGATCTTTGCTTGCTCTTGCTCTGTGGCTGCTGTCGTTGCACGATTCTTTGCATCTTGAAGTTGACCCTGGTAGCCGTTCTCTTGGCCGTCCTTGGAGGCCACACCCGTCTGCAGAGTTTGAAGAAGTTCTTCCTTAGACTCAGCGTCTTTGTTTTGCTGTTCCAGATCTTCCTTGGCGGCATCGTACCGGGCCTTTGCGTTTTCGAAAGCGGCCGTCTTCTCCTGTAGGGTGGCTTCCAACTCTGAGACGGTCTTTTCAACAGCCACTTTCTTTTCTTCCTCCTCTGCCAAGCTGGACTTCTTCAGATCGAGAATGGTGGCTAGTCGCACAAGCTCATTCGAGTGCTTCTTGGATGCCTCCTCCAGTGCTGAAGCCTTGCCTCCTTTTCGAAGCTCCTTGTCTCGTTGGGCTCGCACTTTCTTGACATCCTCTTCAAGATGAGAAATTTCACTCTTTAGACGAGCTGCTGACTCCTCCAAATCCCGCCGCCTTTGCTTCTTTCCTTCGAGGTCTGCCGCTGATTGGCTCAGAGAGTCTTGGTAGCGCAGATAATCGTACGCAACAACCACTCGAGTCAGTCTCTCCAGGTCGTTTTGAGTCTGTTGGAAGTCCAGGAAAGCACGCTTTTCTGTTCGTAGTTTCTCCAATTTGGGCTCAATCTCGTCCTTGAGAAGCTCTCGAAGCTCGACTAGCTTGGTTTCCTTTTTGGCCATTGTCTTGAGCGCCTTGTCTCGACGATCCTCGAACATTCTGGTTCCGGCAGCTTCCTCTATCATGGCCAAGATCTCTACAGCCTTCATGTTGAGGACTTTGGTAATGCGACCTTGCATAATGAGGAAGTTGGGGCTGTTGATGTTGAGCTGCACCGACTGGAATAGGTTTTGGACTGTCTGTTGTTGAGCGCGGTGGCCGTTGATGAGGTACTTGGATGTTCCTCCAAGAACGATCTGTCGTGTAACACTAATATTGGCATATTCTTCGAAACCGATCGGCGACTTCTTGGTGTCTTGATTGTTGAATACAATTGTGACGCTAGCTTTTGTGACACCAGCTTGACCGCGCTTATATATCAGGTCCTGTGGTTGTCGTCAGTATGTACTGAGGGTGGTTGAATCGGCGGTGACTGGACTGACCTGGAGATTTTGCGCTCGAACGGTTGACATGTTTGTAATTCCAAGAACGAAACATATCGCATCGAGGATGTTTGACTTTCCACTGCCATTGAGACCGGTGATCGAATTGAAACTCTCGTCCCTGCATATGTTGGTTATGGTTCCTCGAATGTTTTGATGGTTGGCCTACCAATTTGAGATCACGGTACGCACGGCATAAGACTTAAAGCCCTGTAAAAAAAGAAAAAGTCAGAATGGATATAGAAGGAGAATAGTGCAAATCAAGTACTCACGTCAATTACTATTTCAATAACCCTCATGTTGGGCAAGATCGAGTCCGCGGCTTCGTTGAATCTTTTGCTATGTTTCGTCGCTCCGCATCTCAAGGGGGGAGGGGAACGCGAAAGTAAACAAGAGAGTTGCGACCGATAAGACGTTATCAGCACGTGTTGGCTGATATCATTAAACTGGCAGGGCGTTAAGAAAGGTACTTGAAGTTTAGCTTCGGCACAACGGTTATAGCCCTGTAGCTCAAATTGAGTTACAATCAGTTCTGTAGAAACTATACTCGAATAAAAACCTCGGTATGATGTTGATCAACTCATTAGAGGCTATAATACTCTGTTTACATGCCTCTGTTTCACAAGAAATACATCGTCTTCGTCCACTGGCCGTGAATAGAAGCTTGAGTAAGCCCCACTTCCGAGCTGGGAAACCCATCAACGCTAGTCTGGATTCGGCATACGGGTAAACATCCCTCTTTGTTATTGAGACCTAGCTCCTCTCGCACTTCGAGTTCACAACTTTCAAACACACTAAACTTTTCGACTTCATCTCGACCTTCCAACCCGATGAGTACATAACCAATATCGCACGAACAATAGTTGACAAGCAACTCCAATCAATCACCTCCACACGCGCCCCTTTTCAACCGACGCAATGGCGGCCATGCGAGGACCGCGCATTCCAACCGGCTCAGCTGCTTGGGTCGCTGATGAGCGCGCTTCTGCCCTTCAGATAGTTGATGTTGAGGTAGACGAGTTCACATACGCGGCTCACAACGAGTTCTCATGGCTCAATGAGCACATGGCCAATATCTTTAACGAGAACGAAACGTACGCGTCTTGATCATTGTTTTTGACGCGATATACTGACTGGCGGCTTGATAGAAATATCGCCGAAACCTTCAAAACACCTGGAAGACTTCGTGGAAAGACACCTCGAACAGCACGAAAATTGATCACAGAGCCAAGAGTAGTAAGCTTAGCTACCAAATGTCCCCAAATAACACACATTAACATTTCGAAGCCTTTGTCCAATGTATTTGGGGGCACACCCTCGAGCTCAGCAAACCGATTCGCGCAGCATCTTCTTCTTCAGTCTCCCCAAAGAGAGCTTGTGAACCAAGCCAAGTCTTCTTCGCCTAGACGACACGCCCCATCGCCCAGGACAGCGCCTCCTACCTCTGACGAACCAGTCGAAGACGCGCCAGAACAGCCTTCAGATGAAGCCCAAGCCATTCACTCGGACCAGGACGCCCACATGACACTTGAAGAAGCATCGGAACCAGCCCCAACGGTCAAATCTCAACCGGCAACGCAAGGCGACTCTGGCTATTTCGGAAGTCAAGATATCAACCCTCCCAGTTTTGATCCTCTGGAGGACGAAGACACCTCAAATATCGACCCTGTTGCCTTGGATGAAGCCATTGCTTTCCCTCAGCCAAGCCCCTCGCGGACATCTCTTGCCAAGGACCCTATCAAGACTTCTTCACCGATCAAGACACAACAAGCGACAACTGACGTCGATATGGAAGAGGCCCAGGCCGAGCCCCAGGAGGATGAGAACGCTATCCAGGATGATGCACAGTCTCAATCCGATCGCCACAGCCCTAGTCCCGTCCGCCCAGGCTTCCGCAACAGCTTGCAGTTCCCTTCTCTCCCTGCTCGTGAGCCTCTCACAGCAGGCAAGAGCATTGGTGCCAGAGCTTCTCGAACAAGTCATGTCGATCCTAAGAGGACGAGTTACTTGGGGAGAAACACGAGAGGAAAAAGCCTGGCTAGTCACGCAGAACAGAGTGCCTCAGACGAGTCGGATCAGGACGAGATGGACGTTGATGATTTCCCCACAGTGCCACAGCAGCCTAAGAACGCTGAGGAGCTTGCTATCCACCACAACAAGACGTACACGCAGATGCTACAGGACCGAATTAGTGTACTCGGTAAATCGCAGCCAAATGGAAGTCGACCCTCCAAGTCAATTCACAGCATTACCAACTCTCAGCCGCCACAAACTGTATCTCAATCAGTACCCGAACCTAAATCATCATCGCCCAGGAAGCTGGAGACCACAACAACACCAGGTGCTTTCCCCGAAGATGATGACGATGACTGGATTGTCCCTCCCACTACACAACAGCCTGTCACTGCTCCTACACCCACAAGGCCGTCATTTTCTAAGAGCCGAACTGCCGATGTTATGGAAGGAATCCATGGCAAGCAAACTCTTGGATCCTTTGACCTGGATGAAGCCCGCGACAGTATCCGATCACCAGCTCGTGCCAACAAGCCTCAGCGACCGGCATACCTGGGACACTCCAAGTCTGTATCGGTACCTGCTGTTCCACTTATCCCAGCTTCGGATCCAGAGGAGGGAAGCCCATTGAAGAAGACAATATCATCAACCAATGCTTCTGTGAGACCAGCCACTGCTGTTGCACCTTCCTCCTCCTCTCCCTCAAAGTCTCCTACGAGGCTCTTCCGTGACAGTCCTCTGAAGCATCTAAAGAACAAGATGTCATCCATTCTCAGCACTTCCAAGGGCTTGATCGCCAGCAGTGCAGCTCTGAGCGCCGAAGGCAAATCGTCCCTGCTCTCGCCATCTCGAGCTCACCTAGGAACATTCCCCGACCCTTCTTTGGATTCAATCGTCCCCAAGGCAAGCATCGATTCCCATAGAAGTGGCGACACTGCTACCGATCAGCAGTCAACTGCACCTCGACCAGTTGCAAAGCGCACAAGAGCTTCAGTGGAACGTGAGAAGGAGGAGAAGCGAAGGGAGAAAGAGGCTAGAGTCCAAGCCGAGCAGATGGAGAAATTGGAGAAGGAGCGCGAAAAGGAAAGGGAAAAGGCCAGAGTTTTCAGCAAAGAGCAGGAGAAGCTCGCCAATATGGAAAAGCAGGTCGCTGCCAGGAAAGAGGTTGAACCACCTGCTCCCAAGGCTACACCTAAGCCAACCCGAACCAGCCCGCGAAGGGCAAAGCCTCAGGAGGAAACGGAGGCCAAGGCCGCTGACCAGGAGTTTGATATGGGCGATGCACCTGCCTTGGTACCCCCTCCTTCTGCTCACAGATCTGCTGTTCCTGGACAACTATCTCGGCCCAAGGAGATGAGGCGAATTGCGAAGCCAGGCCGAGAGCCAGCTACAAAGACAAAGGCGGCACCTACTGTTCACATCAAGGTCAACACTGGCTCACAATTACATCCTGGCAACTCTGTGGCTAGTGGGTATCAGGACTTCGGTGCTTCAACAAGCTCTCAACCTCCTCAAACAATCAGCAAAGCAAGCAAGGCCTCTACACAGCCCAAGCAATCCGCACCAAACTTTGGTGCTTCTACCGGATCAAATGGGCGGCCTAGAGCTCTCGATTTGGCTGCACAGAAGAAGGCCAAGATTGAGCGTGATCGCGCAGCATTGAAGGACGACAAGAAGAAGCAAGAAGCCATCCGTCGCCAAGAGGAAGAACGACAAAAGCGTGAGAAGACTGCTCAGCGCCAAGCAGCTCAAGACCGACTGGCAATCATTGAGAAAGCCAAGAAGACCCCTGCGCCACCCCCAGCTGTTCGGTCACAGCCAAATGGTCCACCTCAGTACAGTCTACAACAGGACAAGTCTGCCTCGGTACAGCGAGAGGGGCCACCTCGCCCTCCTTCTCGTATGAACTCTGGCATCTTCAGATCACAAGATGACATGGGACGACCCGTCAATGCTAACTTGACAAATGGTTCTAAATCTGGCCCCAAGAGGCCCCTTCGAGATGCTAATGAGGATGGGCCTTCAAGACCTCCACCTGCACGTGGGCCCCAATACCAGGCAAAGGATGCCAAGCGCCGTCGAACGAGCGATGACTACGCTGATGAGCTTGATATGGAGCAGCCTCCTAATATCAAGGGACCTCCAGTCCGTCCATCCAGCGCTCTTAAGAGGGTGAGCAATCAAAGCGTTTCTTGTATTCCAACAAAGGTTAACAAGTACCAGGATCTGCAGACGAAGACTCTTACGAGTGGCTATGTTTCCCAGGCCAGTGCGCAAAACCTATTCAAGACTGGCGTTCCCCAGAGTCAAATGAAGGGAGGCAACCCTATGGACATGGCTCAGATTCACAAAGGAACTATTCCTTTCGCCCCGAACCCCAACCCGGCGGGACCTTCTTACAAGACACCTGGACGTCCCGGTCCCGTCAATGGAATGAAGTCTGCCGCCAAGTCTGTACCAAGATCATCACCACGATTCCAGAATGGCGAGGCCATTGAGCTTCCTGAGATCCAGACAGACGATGAAGACGAGGACGACGATGAACCTCAAGCGGGCACGGTCGCAGCATGGGCTAACTCCCCATACATTCGGGATGCCCTCTTTAGACAGGAAGATATTGACCCAGCGTCAATTTTCGGACCTCCCGCGCCCTTGAACATGGAGGAGGTCTTTGACAAGAGCAAAGACAGACACCACAAGTTCCGCGCCCGAACATCCAGTGCCAACTGGAGCGGCACAGATCGTCTTACTGAAGAGGACATCCGAAAGAACCTGGCTGCCAGAGACAAGCTCAGACGTGAGGGAGGCTGGTCTTACGAACTGAGCAAAGACATGATGTAATGGCATATGCATATGATACGGATACTTGATGAAGTCGATTAATTGGGTGTTCAGAGGGATTAAGCTTAAGCAGCGGCAGCATGGCTACAATAATGAAACGGAAAAAAGGGAGCGAGTGATTGACTCTGGTCGAGTTTATTGGCATATGGGCATCGGATGCAGCAGATTGAGCGCATTTGTGATAGATGAGATTGCATTTTGACAATGGTTGGTTGGTTGGTTTCTGGTTTGGCGCATGGCGAAATGGAATAGGGTGTCTATCAAGGCTACCGAGGAAGGAAGAGATGAACGAGCGTTTAGTCAAGCAAGACGTATAATATCGCATGCATGGAATACATTGTTGGGGCGTTTGTCTATTGAATTATCCGAATGAGAATCATTATTCGTTTATTATGGCTCCGAGGAAGTGTCCGATTGCTTGTGATGATGGATGCTCATGAATATGTACATACTGCGGTGTTGGTAGTGAGAGTTACAAATAGTATGTACCTAGCTTTCCAACCTCTCCAAGAGGAAACAAAGTTGACCTTTTGCTCATGATAATTCTCCACCAAGAAACGAGACATTATTGGAAGATCAACCTTATCTGCAGATGCAAAAAAGCCATGGTCTCAACAAATTCTTAGTTAACCGTTTTCACATGTCAGAAGCATAAGCACGACGGAATAGTTAGGACCCAGTAAAAAAATGATAAGGAACTGTAGGCGAGGCGAGGCGAGACCTCGTGCAAGATTCTATTTGATGCGGTTGTTTCATGATATGGCATTTGCTCCTCTCTTTTTCCTTCGGCCTTTCTCATCTGATGGTTTTGTCAGGAGGTCTTTATGAGAGAGGTCCCTTCACTTTAAAGTCAAACAATACTGCCACATTCACATCATGACTGATTAGACCTAAGCCTCACTTCATCACCGAGTTAACCTGACGACATTTTAACTATTGTTCTCTCACTTCCACTCTCCCGAGACCTCATTCATCCTTTAGCCTGCAGCTCTTGAAACATGGCGTCTCATCTCAGATCATTTGCTCCATCTCTCGACGAGATCAAAGTCGATCAAATCACCGAAAGCAGGATCTTCAACGTCGTCTCCATGCTTCCAAACTCACTCCCCGGGCCAATTCGTTTCCTCAGACGGAGTATCAGTTTTCACACTCTACGTCCTGGTGTGACGATATCTGGGTCACAAACAAAACCTCGGCCTCTTTCAGAAGCTGATGTCTCGGCTACAATGGCCCAGCCACTCCAGACGGACATGGTAAAGCACTCGGGTGGATTTGTAGAGTCACGAGACTTGAATCCTCAGCCGATGAGTCGAGTCCTTTATTCGGAAGCACCAGAGGATGAACCAGCTATGCGAGCAGCGTCTGGTGTGCATTGGAAATTTGCACGGCAGGGTAAGTAACTCAAAGGACTAACTTGTAAGAAATAGTGTTGTATGCTGACATGGCCCAATAGGGACGAATCTCGTCAACATCTCTATAGATGGAGGCAAAGCTGCTGTAGCAGATGAAGACGTTGCGTTTGAACGGAAAGCCTTTGTTGACGGGGTGACATATCTTCTCAAAGCTCTCCCGCAAGAACTTGATGAAGGCGAACTTAGGAGAATTCAATGCGCATTGCCAGAGCAAGTCAACTTGTCTGATATGGCCCTAACTCGAGCAGAACCCGGCTCACAACGCGTTCGCCCCAGTCAACCCCGTTCAATCATTCATCGCGGAGTCCAAATGACAGTCGTCAATCTCATCTTCTTCCTCAGCTTCCTAATGCCATATCTGCTGCTACTCGTTAGATGCGCAGCTCGACTGGAGCGCAAGTACAAGATCTCCGAGAAGGTCGTAGGTCACGGCGTGGACTTGGTCAACTCAATTGGCAAGCAAAGCGCTTCCTTGACTGACGCAATCGGGCAGATGAACGATGGCAAAGTTGCTCAGGCTCTATTAGAAGTGTTTGTTTGGACTGTTGATGGTGTAACTCAGGGTATCTCGGATGGACTCGGGGAGGGTCTTTCGATGGTGGGGTCGAAACCAAAGATGAGTGGCTAGAGCCTAGAAGCTGCTGGAGGGGACTTGCATCAGAGGGAGTTTATCATTGGGGATTTAGAAATAGAGATAGAAGAGTGATCATTGGTCAGCGGAGTTTTGTTTTTATACTGGCATTTACATAGCATAAGGTAATGGAAGTTGCATACATACACACTCTACAGTTCATACTCGGGGATTTTGTTCCATCTTCATCCTCAATACTGAGCTAGTGGCAATGCTCCAGGACCCTTACAAGCCTTTTCGCCTCTAACCCGGTGCTGACCTCCGGTGGAGCACGTGACAGATTCGGGACCTAACCCAATCAGGGTAGAGCTTCGCTGCCAATTAGGCGATAAGATAAGGTAGCGCTGTAAAAATTTCATTTTTCCCAAAAGTAGCGGCGCGCGACCCTTGGACGCCTGCCAATCTTCATCCAAACCTAACCTTCTCCCATATCATCATCCTCTTTTCCTCTCCTCCTCCAATTCTTGCTTCTGGGTTTGTAGTTTCTATCAATCGCAGAACAGGAATCTCAGCGTCAATTCTTGTCTTTAATACCCCGGCATCATGTTTCGATCCAGCCTTAGGCGCTGTGCCACTCAGGCCAGATCCGCCGCTACAGCTGCCCTCCTCACACAGACCCGAACTGCTTTGCCTGCTGTTCGCCGTCAGGTTTTGACAAGCCGCTCTTCTATCGCTGCCATCAGCCGAATTGCTTCCATCACACGCGCCTACAGCAACGAGGCTACTGCTGAGCAGAATGAGTCTGAGTCTACTCCTTCAGCTGAAGCTGAGCCTGAAGTTCGCTTCGCCGATCTCCAGGGCATTCACCCCAACCTTCTCAAGCCCATCATGGACGACATGAAATACGATACCATGACTCCTGTCCAGGCCAAGACTATTCAGCCTGCCCTCAAGGGTACTGACATGTGAGTTCTTTTTACATCAAGATAAAGATATTGTACATTGGCTAACATTTAATCAGCGTTGCCCAAGCCAAGACTGGTACCGGAAAAACTATTGCATTCCTTCTTCCTCTCCTGCAAAGAATGATCGAGGAGGATAGCACACTTGCCGACAGGACCGCTAGACGTCAAGCCCGATCTGATGATATCCGTGGAATTATTCTCTCTCCCACACGAGAGCTAGCCGAGCAAATCGCCGCTGAGGCTCGCCGATTGGTTTCACACACTGGTCTCGTCGTTCAGTGTGCTGTTGGTGGCACTGACAAGCGCAGCATGCTTCACCAGACTCGACGAAATGGTTGCCATCTTCTTGTCGCTACTCCTGGTCGTCTGAACGATCTTCTCCAGGACACCAGCAGCGGCATTGATGCCCCCAACCTGGCTGCTCTGGTCTTGGATGAGGCCGACCGAATGCTTGATGTCGGCTTCGAGAGAGAGCTCAACGAAATCATCAAGTGCCTTCCCAAGCCCGAAGAGAAGGTTCGCCAGACCATGCTCGTTTCTGCCACAATTCCCGACAGTGTCATCCGCCTGGCCCGCAACATGGTCAGAGCCAACGACTTCGAGTTTGTCCAGACCATCCCCGAGAACGAGTCTCTTACCCACGACAAGGTTCCTCAGCATATCGTTCCCGTCTCCGGTTGGTCTCAGGTCTTCCCCACCCTTTTTGAGCTTCTGGAGCGTGAAGATGCAACGATCAGGCAAACCCCTGGTGCCATGCCTTTGAAGGCTATTGTCTACTTCAACACCACTGCTTTGGTTGAGCTGGCTGGCGAGCTGTTCTACCAGCAACGTCAGAATGCCAAGAACGACGGCACCCCTTATTTCTCTTCCTATGTCATGCAGTCAAAGCTGAATCAACAACAACGCCAAAGAGCTGCCGACAGATTCCGCGAGGCTAGATCCGGTGTTCTTCTTTCCTCCGATGTCACAGCCAGAGGAATGGATTTCCCTAATGTGACACACGTTATCCAGATCGACACTCCCCGGGAACGTGAGTCTTACATTCACCGACTTGGACGAACTGGCCGACAGAACAAGGAGGGCCAAGGCTGGTTGATCATCCCTAACTCTTCCGTCCGTAACGCTCGAAAGATGCTTCAGGGTCTTCCCATTCAGCAGAACAGCTCTCTCAGCAGTGCTGAGACTGACGTGGCAGGAGGTGAGACTACTACTCACCACGAGAAGACCAAGGCGCTCTTTGGTACTCTGCCTCGTTCAGTTCTCGCTACAGCCTATATGTCCATGTTCGGCATGGCCACTAATAAGCAGGAGATGGCCGAAGAGGTCAACGAATGGACGCGTCTTGGCTGGGGATGGGATAAACCCCCGTCTGTTTCCTCCATGTGGGCTCAGAAGCTGGGATTGGCCAATACACCAGGCATGCAAATTTCGGATGGCCAGCGATTTGGCGATCGATCTGGTGGACGGTTCGGTGATCGATCCGGTGGATTTTCACGCCGAGAAAGCGATGATCCCTTTGATTCCATGGCAAGCAATGCTCGCCGGGATGACTTTGGACGTGGTAGATCTGGTGGTTTTGGCCGCGGAGGCTCAAACGGTGGTCGCTCAGGAGGCTTTGGCGGTAGCCGCTCAGGAGGATACGGTGGCAACCGTTCAGGAGGCTACGGTGGTGGCCGCGGTGACCGAAGCTCTGGTGGTGGCCGCTCAGGAGGCTACGGCGGAGGACGCTCTTCATTCTAAGCGATGAAGGGCATGCCGTGAAAATGGTGAAAATGTAATAACAAGACCAGATACCTATGACGGATGGGATGTGTATGACTTGTACTTCAATTGGGCATTTTTGTATTTTATACTAGTGTAAGATATGGGAAAAGGGGTTTGGTTTATAGACATGTCTACAGGCGTCACTGGGTATACTCCACGACAACTCTACTTAAGAAATGACGATAATCTCAATGACCATCCTGCTTTGTGGCACTCGCGCTTAATGTATGTGGTTGTTTGGCCAGCAAGCAGATTTGCATACTGATGAACTCAGCCCATGGAATACATCCCAACGCCTGTTATACCAACGGTATTCGTAGATACGCTTACTCCAATCAACGCCAAACTAACAATGCTTAACATCATGGTATTCGTTGGCCCATCAACATATTGGCATCCCACAGTAACACTCTCTCATCCCAGCCCACAGAAGCTACCCAACCGCCCATACCAAAAAGACACCAGTCTACTCCCGTGACGAACTCCGTATGACGATTCATGATTCCCATTTGACTTCCTATTGCCGGTCCCATTGCCGGAACTTGCTGCTGACTTGAACCGTCATTCCATAACCGAACAGTCATGTCGTAACTGGCACTTATAAGAGTGTCGCTCGAATGGGGACTCCACGATAGACGCCGCACAGCATATTCATGGCCTTGCATGATAGACAGCGGACCTCCGTTAGGGTTCCGTATGTCAAAGGTTCGTAGAACTCTGTCCACACCACCTGTAGCTATCACCGTGTCCCGGTACTTATTCCAATCGTGAGTAAGAATCTCGGCAGGCGCAGAAGCCCCGGGTGACGGTTGCGGCCCAGAAGCGTGGACCGGTATCGTCGCCGTGAGGTGGTACTTTGCCGAAGATGGCGTTCGGAGGTCGAAGATTCGGAGGTGGGAGTCGGAGGAGACGGCGGATATCAAGGCGGGGTTGGAGGGGCAGAAGGATGTGCTGTAAGTACAGTTTCCGATGGGCAGCGTCTTTATCGAGTGATTTCGCGTTGGCGACCACTATCGAGTGTTAGAACCATAGTTTATGTATAGGTGATTAGTTGGCGTACAATCTTGACTGTGCCGTCCCAGGAACTCGATATGAAAGTATCCTTGGTTATAGGGTTCCAACAGACGGAGAAGGTTTCTCGCTTATGTTCGTGAAAGTTCATAACCGGAAAATCGTCAATTCCCAAGTCAAATAGCTTCAACGATCCATCACCACATGCGACGATCAATTGGTTCTCGTTAATCTCGGACCAAGCCAAGTCGTACAGCGCATCGTTTGTATCGAAACTGCGACAGCGATATTAGCTTCCAGTAACACTCCACAAGTTCCAGCAACGGGACGTCGCATACGTTTTCTCAACTTGTACACCCTGCGCCGTCAGAGCGAGCGCAAATACCCGACCATTGCCCACAATGCCAAAGTTGGCAGACGTCGCAACGGCAATTCGCGAGTCGTAGTACGGGGAATACTTGACGGCGTAGGGATTGTACCCTTGGGTTCGGAATTCTAGCATTGCAGCCATTGCGCTGAAAATTGGTCTTGAGAGACCGCGCGCATGTGTTAGCTGTGGTATTATGGTAGAGCAAAGAAAGCTACAGTGGACAATGGGCTTGGGCTTGTTTGGATCGTATAGCTTCCCCTCGAAGCCCCTCGAAGCTATACTGACATGTGCCTCGGTTTCGGTAATCTCACAAGCCCGCGGGGCACAAGTGTCGCGTTTATGTGGCTAACCGGGTCATACGTCATGCGGGGGTATGTGATAACCGGAGTCATTCTAGTCACGTGGTTTCGTGTCTCAACTTTTCGCACCTTTCGCGATATCGTGTCACCAACCGCCCCTCATCACGTCTCCCAAACTGCGAAATGCTGGCGCATCTGCCAGAGAGCACTTTCAGTTACAGCGCATGACTTGTACTATTGGATATACGGGGATCAAGCTATGAAAGCTTTTTTGACTCGTCCCAAGCGGAAATCATCTCCAGAGCTTCAAAAGGAAATCGCAGAACCAGAAGAGTCAACCGAAGTCAAGTTGGCTTTATTATCGTCTTTGCATCCTCAACTTGATCAGGAAATTCTACTAGACATCTTACTAGCGCATGATGGTTCCGTTTCGGAGGCATCCGCGTCCCTTAAAGTCCAGGCCCCGGTGAAGAAGGGCAATCGAGTTATCGGATACCAACAATCCTTGAAGCAATTTGCAACCCCAAGTGACTCGACATCCTTGGATACTACACCAAAAAAGAAGAAATTAAAGTCAAAAGCCGGAAGCACATTGCACTTATATGATCCGGAAGACGTGGCTGAACATACTCCGTGCACGATTATACACAACTTCTTACCACCTGAAGAAGCCAACGAATTACTGCAAGAACTACTTGAAGAATCAAAATCTTTCGAGAAGATTACTTTCCAACTATTTGAGAACGTAGTATCAAGTCCCCACACGTCAAGCTTCTATGTCGAGAGCTACGACGAGATCGAGCGCCAGAAAACAGAGTACCACTACAATGGTGGTCGACTTACGGTAAATCTTTATGTGATCGCATCACCTCACAGTCTTTGATTAATCGTGTGCAGGATGTCCGGCGAATTACACCTCAGCTTATCAAGGTCAAGCCAAAAGTCCAAGAAGCTGTCAATTCCGAGATTCAGAAACGAATCAAGACTCGATACCCTGGCGGGAAAAAGTTGAAATATCAATCCCCCAACCCCTGGGTTCCAAACTCAGCATTTGTCAATGCATACACCGGTCCTCAACAGAATGTTGGCTGGCATAGCGACCATCTCACATATCTTGGACCTCGCGCCGTCATCGGGTCGATTTCACTAGGGGTTGCTCGCGAATTTCGTGTCAGGCGCGTGATTCCTAGAGACAGCGATACGAAGACGGTTCAAGAGCAAGATGCAGAAGGTCAAATATCAATTCATCTTCCGCACAACTCTCTTCTTGTGATGCATGCCGAGATGCAAGAAGAGTGGAAGCATAGCATCGCCCCGGCATTGTCTATCGATCCGCATCCTATCTCTGGCACGACTCGAATCAACATTACATACCGAGACTACAAGGCAAACCTACATCCAAGGTCTACACCAAAGTGTCGGTGTGGGCTGCCGTGTGTTTTGAGAGCTGTGACGAAGAAGAAGGAGAATTTTGGAAAATACTTTTGGATGTGTTATGCCAACTCTCCTGGACAGGAGAACTGCGGGTTCTTTCAGTGGGCTGAGTTTGATGATGATGGGAATCCCGTGTTTAGAAAAGGAGCTGGCACTAAGACTTAGGGAATCAATACAACCCTTGTCAAACCAATTCTCGTCTTTTCCCGTGCCTCTTGAATGAGTCTGATGCAGTGATGCCCTCTTCGATACTTAGTTATCCAACTGAGAAACCACTGTCCTTCCAATGGCTCTATAGATACCGGCCATAAACATACCGGTGAGATGCGCCACGGCTTTCCAGATAGAATTTGCACTTTCGTTTGCAAGTTGGCCAAACACTGGGGCCATAGATTAGTATTTACCACAGAAACCACACCATATGATACGCGGAAGAATGTGGATTGAACTTTACTATGAATGAAATGGAATCAGTCGTATTGGCCCAGCCAATTCCCTCGATGCGCACTTCTGGTAGCCTGTAGTTGCGTATCTACAAGTTTAATGTCAAGCATCTTGCAGATAATGGAACATATAAGCCCCCCAACATGACATCCAAATCCATCTATCGACCCATATATGTTGTATGACACACAGATACAGCAATATATGATGTTAGCATTAAGCGATCCTTATGTAACGAATATACTTGCAGTATTCGTAGGCCTTGATCCAGTCCATTCTTCTAGGGCACCAAATCGGCAGGCCATGGCTAGCTGAAGTAGATTGACGGTATCACAATCGGCTAGGATTCCAGCGTGATATTTCAAATGTTACTGACGCTTTTATCATTGATTCATTGTTGAATGGGCCAGGTAAATCACCGACATAGTGGAAACATCCACGACTCCCTTTACGTAGCCCTAGGAATAGTGGCAGATCGAACTGCCTCCACTTGCTCAGCCTGCGCAAGAGAATGGTTTAATGTAATGGGAAGATATATGCTCACTCGAAATACATGACGTCTATGTACTTAAGCCTTAGGTGGTGGTCAGGCTGATAGGTTATCTACCAATATGGCTGCTCTGCCTTGTCAAATTGCCCTGAAGATTCAATCCGAAATGCCCGATAGAAAGCAATTCATGGCGAAAATCCAAGGCTTCAGAAAGTGCGTGGTTGTTTCTTGTGTAACGCGATGGCTTGCTAACCATTGGAATTTAGATCTTCGTGAGATATGTGGTCTACACCAACCAGCAGCCCGTTGACTTTGGGGGCGAGATCCATGCAAGATATGGGCCGTTTCAATTGGACCTGATTCTTTGAAATTCTTGACTTGATATGACCTTCTTTCCCGGCCGCTATCATTTCATCATGTTTCCGCCGAGTCCCGGTAGGAAGTTTCGGGGGTTTTGTGAGCAGCCGTACCACCAGTACGGTACCAGGCCATTAATGAGCTCTATGTTTCGCCATTATAATCAGTAAGCGCTAGCATTTAATCTATTTATTTCAACGAATCTACACGATGTTAGCGTGAGGCTTCAACTACCGAGGACGTGCTCCTCCTATTTGAACCGTGACAAGTTTAATCCACAAATGCTCACATAGCTTGCTTGAAACGGTCCTTGATATAAACAGAGTATATATATGAGGATACAGACCCGATCTGAACTGTCTTAGATCTATTCGATCTGCCCCGCAGCATCCGCAGATGCTCTTATTCATGTGACTTGGATTACCCAATTGCCCCATTCAGAGTCTTGGAAATCTAGCCTAATCGGCTATTATCATGCCAGAAATAGCTACAGCCAAAGTTTATATTCGATAGTCCAATACTATAATCCATAAAGTGAAGATTGAATATCTTCTTCGTACTTAGGTGGAAAAACAAGAATTTAGGCAACTTCATTTCAACCTTACATCCATCCGTAGATATGTCAGTAAGTATTCAACCGTATGTCACTCACTCTCCACAATAAGGTGCCTTGTTTACTATTTAAATCTAGTGCTGCTATAGCTGAGGAATATACGGGAATGTGAATATAAGTTGTTTTGAGTCCAAAGCTGGCGGAATCAATTATCAGTGCCAGATGTTCCGTGGAGAGCTATTCTGTTTCGAGCAATAACAAGTTTGGATCTAAAACCAGGCTTCCTCGGATCTGTTTGAACAACCATCTTTGACAGATATAATCGACCTACCAGTCGCCAATGATCCAAGTAACCAGAAAACGAACTGCCTCAATTCAGAACATCGCATATGGAGCGGCACTCGCACTTGGTAACAAGGCAGGATAAATGACCAGCATTCTTTATGGACTCAGCAAAATTCTTCACCAAGAATAAATCAAAAATGAAAGAGAATGAGTATTTATTGAAGGTATTAATCGCTGCCTATCCTATAGAAGTTTAAGAATTCCATACTGTTCAAGTTTATCATAACAATCTCTATATTCATTGGCTGATTTGATTGCCAAGGGCCGCGAACGGCATGTGGGCCGCGCCTGCCGCTGTCACATTCCCGCCAGCGGTTTCAGCCAGCCGCTGCCTGTATCCTTCCTTCCAATCAGGAAAGCCAATTTCAACTTCATCCCAACCAAAGGAAGTACTATCGATTTAATCCTTCAATCTAACACCAACGACCGCGAAGTATCATCTTCGCGTCAAATCAATCGAGAAGACGAGAGCCCAATGAAAGATTAAATCAGATCTTCTTCCTCTACTTGGCCACGTCACCCAGTCTCTTGAAGAAGTTGTTGGCCGCAGATTGGAAGCTCATACAACCTACAGAACGGCGCTACTAGGACAACAGTGCCTGGCATCAAAGCTCTCTTTGACTTCTGGGGCAAATCTTTTCTTTAACTTCGTATCCTGGCTATTCAGATTCAACCTGACTACCACGGGAAAGAACTCAAAATGTCGGCGCTCACCTTCCCCGCATCCTCAGCAGCTATGCTAGAGTCCAGACTTCCATCATCAGCAAACACTTCTGGAGCCTCACGGCCATTTGTGACACTCACATTTGCAACCTCACTTGATTCATCGCTTTCTCTGGCCCCTGGCGTCCGAACTCGACTCTCCGGGCCCGACTCCAAAGCAATGACTCACTATCTTCGTTCACGGCATGATGCTATTCTCATCGGCGTTTCCACTCTCTTGGCCGATTCGCCTGCCCTAAATTGTCGTATCACTGGTGCTACAAGTCAGCCTCGGCCCATCGTCATTGATCCTCATCTCCGATGGACTCCTAGCAGCTCCGACAAAGTCCTAGAGGTTTCTCGCCTCGGTAATGGTTTAGCTCCCTTTGTCCTGACTGGTGTGTCTAGCCAGGACTTGCCTGCTGAAAACGTTGCGCTACTCGAACACCATGGCGGAAAGTATATCCATGTCCCGACCAAAGTAGGACCCAACGAACGCATGCGCTTTGACTGGCATGATGTATTCAGAGCCTTACATCATGCAGGCCTCTCCAGCGTCATGGTCGAGGGAGGCGGCCAAATTATCAACTCCTTGCTTGATCCTCAATATCACGAACTAGTTGACTCCGTTATTGTTACTATTGCACCAACTTGGCTTGGTCAAGGAGGCGTTGTCGTGTCCCCAGATCGCCTTCAGGATTCAGCAGGTGTTCCAATTCCTGCTGCGCGGCTATCGAATGTCTCATGGCATCCTTTTGGTGAAGACGTTGTCCTGTGTGGCACGCTGCATGCTTAGTGCCTAAAGCTAGGCTATACTTATATACAAGCCTCCAATCAAGCTTTAGCTATCCCTCTGCTCTTCTCAACATGTTTCTTGGAAACCCCCCTTGCTCAACCCAAACCCCCATCTCTGCCTGTAGTCTTGTTCTATCATGATTTCTGCTGTCATTGACTGGTGTATTGGACCTAAATGCCACCGAGTATGATATGGATATTCCGGTAGCAATACTGGGAGAAAGGTCCGTTTCTCATTCTTCAACATTGTCAAGCATACTGGATTATAGGAGCATATGCCTCAGACATGACCCATCAACATGACTTCCAAGGACCGAAGCGGGTAGTAGGCCATCCCAGTGATCACGAAGGCTGATTCAAAACCCAGGTCACCAATTCGCTCCCCAATGGGCCCAGTGAACCACGGCGTGTCCATTGACGGGACCACCAACCCAAGACTGACCAAAGATGCTCCGATTGCCGCCATTCCAATCGGAAGCCGTCGTGCTTGATTCCATATCTCGGGGTCATAAGAATGGTAGTCCATGTTTCGAAAAACCATGAGTTCTTCAATGATAATGGCATCAAAGCATCCCGCCCAATAACCAATCACAGACAGAAAGTTAACAAGGGACTCCTCCCATTTAGCAGCCGCATAGATCGACATGGGAATCATGATAGCCAGCGTTGCTACGATGAATAAGAAGCGTGGCACTTTGGCAAATGCAGGAACAAGCATCTGCAAACACAAGGCGACTGAATAATTAGACAGCACCATGTTGCCAACAACACTCAGAGCGAGAACGACAAGAACGAACTTGCCAAACCCCCCTGCCGGTGCGAGCATTTCAGCCATGACGCCGCCGATCCCATAAATATCCCAAGCCGTTTGCCATGATTCGACATTAGGAAGGGCACCACCAATGGCAGCTCCAAGAATGAGCAGAGGCGTCGATGGAGTGATCAAGCCCAGATAAACGTACATAAAGACCTTGAGCCTGCGATTTGGGTGAGGGTTGTCAGCTTTGATTATCACAACACAATGTCGAGAAATCCTTACTTGGATGATTTGGGGTCGTGATAGACGGTGAAATCGGAGACAGTCCCGCCAAATGTCATGAAATATCCCGCCATTAGACTCCCATATCCGATGACACTTTTCACAGATGCCGGTTCATGGTCAGCCTGGTTTATCAGATGCTTCCCGCCACAGCCGACGGCAATGACAATGGCAACCAAGTTCGGTAACCATTGCCACCGTTGCCAGACGTGGACCGCTCGATATCCTAGGAATGCGAGACAAAAGCTGAGAGTGCAAACGATGCCGATGCCTACGTTTACACTTATATTGGCCTTCTCGTTCACAGCTGCGATGGCTTGTCCGCTCACAATCGATCCCACGAGCGTAAAACCTGTTACCGTTCCAGCGTTGAGCAGGATTGGAATGATTCCAAGATAGAGCCTGGCAAATTGAAATGTCAGCAATCTCCTTGCAATGATATTTGAACTCGAGAAACTCACCCGAAGGAATATCGAGCCTGTATCATTTGTCTCATCCCAGTCTTGCATCCCCCGATACTGATCACAGCTGGGGGTATGCATGTTAGAATGTTGAAAAAGATGATTATCAACGACACATCTCGCAATCCCAGCCCATATACAGCCGTGCCGAGAGCACCAGTTGGCAACCTGAGATTTCATCAGCATATGTGATCATCTATTGGTTAGGTTATGCCATCAACTCACGGCAGAATACACAACAGACATGTGAAGAACACAGTGAAAAGGTTGCTGTGCTGGGTTTGGGTTCTTTCCTCAATGGGCACTGGCCGAACCCCATTCTCCTCGACACCAGCGTCAAGCAATTTCCTATACCACCTCGAAAACACACCAGTCTTGGCGTTCTTGGTAGTCGAAACACTGGCACTTTCTCTATTTCCAGTATTGTTTCTGGCGTGTTCGGATGAATGGAACCCTTGGTTAGCTTCCAAGTCCTTGGGAACTGCCATTGCGATGCTGGTGATCAGTTGTGAAAAGCCCAAGGTTTACTGGACATGCAAGGGAGGACTTAAGTATCTGATAAGCTTAACTTGCTCTAGTATCATGGTATGTCAAACCCGACCTTAAGATAACGAAGAACCATGTAGCTCTTGCATGCGCCGCTGAAGTCTGTTTGCCTCCTGCAGTCTACCCCAACTAACAGTCGTTCCACAATAGGCTCAATGGTAGTGTCTAGACGCTGTGATCTTTTTCTTGCAGTCGACCTAATCACAGTCATCGGCCAATAACCTTGGGAGGCCAAGATTTCACTTTCAAGGAGCACAATCGGATGCTGAACCGGATTTTGCAACTTTGCTCCCGATTGATGTGTCACAATAAAGTGTGGCTTGCTGGCATCCATGTATGTTGGTGCCTAGGAGTTGACTGCAGTGTGCTTGTTCTAAACAACACAACAGTCATGTTGTTTTCTGGGGCTGAGCCGAACCAACTTGGCTGATATATCACTGTACTTAGGGCTGAGGTGTGGTGTGCTTCTCGGTTGGTTCGAGCGGCTAACCAGATAGACCCATGACAACGACTGGCTGCGTTATGTGCTGCTTGTCACTCACATGCTCATCAAAGTCAGCCATGAAGATTTCTCTACCTGCATAAGGACAGGGACTGGGCCAACACCAAAATGGCCCGAAACCTTGAGGATCATGATTCTGCTCTAATGCAGATGAAAGTGCGGCGCGGCGGCCCGTGTACAAGGCCCAACCAAGCTAAATCCTTGCGGGACTGTGATGAAACATGCGCCTTAAATACTCACAAGAATCTTGATAGATACAACCTTTCAATATGGGGTCATCATCTTGCTTCGCCTTTATATACCCACGACTCGTATGGAACGCCAATCGTTAGTTGCAGAGCGGGTCAGCGTCGTACGAATGCGGATCAAGGACAACTCTATCTTTGTCAAAAGCCCGCGGGCTTTTGACAGCAACCACTTCTTTATGCAGCTAGCGGGGATAGGGTGGACATGGAGAATGTTTGCTTGATCCCTGTTACCTCGATGCAACACAATGCGAAGGAGATGCAGCTTTCGCATCCTTCACCCAAATTTCATGACAAGGGCTGGTCCTAGAACGCGCCATTAAGTCCGAAGTCCTGCCTTTCTTTCGTAGTGATGGGTGAATCCCAAGGGGGGCATGCCAATCGACATTGCAGGGATTCTATAGAGCAGCCAAGAAAAGATGTCATATATCGCTGTTGTCTCGTCTCTTGGCCAGCTTGTTATCTCCATCCACTATACATGCTGTGACCGTAAACAGACATGGCCCTTTGCAATAGCGTATGAATGAGGCTCCAGTGAGTGGTGCCTCTTGCTGCACTAAGTCTACAACGAGTCGTGGCCACAGAGCTGACTGAGAGACGTATTACTGCCTTGATAATCCTGCGCTTTGACTCGACTACCAACGAGCTGGGCTGAGGTAACACAACACAAGCGAATGACTCTGCCGAGATACCCCACCTGGACAAGGGTCTCAAAGGGTTCCCTCAAGAACCAATTGGGACCCTTCTTGAACAACAGGGTCCTGTGGATCGGCTAAAATAGACTGCCAGTCTTGGGAAACCGCGTTAGCCACGGTGACCTTTGCGGCCTGCTTCAATCATCTTCATTGCAGAGAATGGTTAAGGGCGAAGTAAGCCATAGGTGCAGCCAGTCCAGTGGGGAGAGAGCCAGCATTAACACATACTATAATGTGCTGAGCAAGGAAAAGTGAAGGGCAATTCCAGAAATGGCAAAAGTTTGCGACTTTGCTGGTGTCTATCAATAGATACAGCCCGATATCTACCAGCGTCAGGTTGCAGTGAAAGAGTGTGATATCTGCGTTTGTTTTCTCATATCGATGGGCACATGAGTACTTGTCATGCTTCCGTACAGCATGTGAGGATTGACCAGTCATCGCAAGACATACTGAGCATGACTTACTTGATACCTAGTCCAACCTATTATAGTACTCTTCCAAGCTGTTAGGAGGGATAGCTGGTCGCTATTCCTAGTCGCTGTTGACAAGTGCCTCTGCTGCAAGGCTTCGTGGTTTGATGACACAGTCAAAGTGCTCAGGGTGACTTGCAGCAATACCATTGTCAGTCGTGTGTCAATCACATTATCAAATACTTATGTGCATGTTTCCAGTTTGGCAAGGGTACAAAGGTATCGGGGGGCAGTGGGGATAGTTCAAGACAGGGGGAGTCAACATACCAGGTTCCTCCATTGGTAAATCGGACTCGGGGCTCAATGGGCTTCCCGTCTGAAGACATCTTCTTGCAAAACCGAAGTACGGACAACATCGTTGCTACCATGATCCAGACACTATTGTCGGCCAGAAACCGACCGACACAGACCCTAGTGGTGATTAGTTCGCTCTAGATTTCAAAGCCGTGGCACGCGTCTCGGTTGGGGTTGGTCTGTCACGTACCGGCGCCCAAATCCAAAATTTCCAACAGGAAACGGTTCCCCAGCTTCATATCTGTCGGGATTGAAATCGTGGGGGTCTTTGTAGACCCGCTCATCATGAGCCATCGCATAAGCGTTGGCATAGACCACAGTCCTGGTACTTATCAGATACCCTCCCCACCTTGTAACATCACTATGATGACAGTATCGTAAGAGAGTATCTTACCCTGTAAATCATCAGTCAACTTGCACAAGAAGTAAAGAGACGTTTGCCATGGATGTACCTTTGGGAATGAGCATGCCCTTGTAGATATCATCGTGGAGCGACTTGTGTGGGATCCCTGCCGCGCATTAGTAGCCATTACACGGTGTCTTCGTTGCCAGCCATGAACAACTCACCTAGAGGAGCCAGCGGCGACCAGCTTTGTGAAGATGCCTGTTAGTTTATATTTCGTGTGAGTGGTTGATTAAATGGCGCGCACCGATAAATCTCCTGGACAATATGTTCGATATAAGCCAAAGCGGGCCGATCCGAGAAGTCGGGAAGTCTATCGGATCCAACCACCGCATCAAGCTCTTGCTGTGCTTTCTCCTGTATTTCTGGGTGAAGAACCATGTTGAGAATAAAGATTACGCAGGTAGCCCATGTCTGAAGGCCACGTTCTTAGCTTCCAAAAATCAACTGTCATGTAGATTCACTCACAGTATCTGCCCCCGCAATAAAAACTGCTCCTGCCGCACCTTTGATATCATCAAGGGACCATTGTTGTTCCTGGCCACGGGACTCCTTGTCTTTGTACTCACGTAGAAGGTGATGTGCTAGAGAAGTGTCTGTATAATGATCATATCTGTGCTGCAGAAGGAAGTCAGTTACATGGCAAGACGTGGCATGGTTCTTGAGCTGTCTTCCCAAACCACCCACTACCCTTCAACTCACATTTTCAGCTTGTGCAGCAGCGAATGGGACGTCGTGGAGCTTTTTAATAGCCCAGCGCCATTGTCGGGCGAACCGCAGGGACCAGTCGCGGACAATGCAGTCGGGGAGGTAGCGAACTAGACTGGCACATTAGCATAGTCTTCTAAAGGTTTCGGGTCCATCATGTGGATATCTTGTACCGAATGGAACTAGATCAACAATACTATTGGCAGGAACTCCACCATTGCCAGTGGCATACATGGCATCGTTGGCGATTTGGATGTAGGGATCATCATCCTCGAGGACTTGGGTGCCATAGCTCACTTGCAGAACGATGGCAACCGCAAGCCTGCGTAACGACGTTTCCCAAGTTTCAGGCCTCTTGAGTATATTCTGAATCGTTCGTCGGGCTTCTGTTATCTGCAGAGTGTGCCATTGGCGGACATTCGTATTGCTGAACGAAGTCTGGAGGAACTTTCTGTGCATTTGCCAACTTTCACCAAAAGGAAGAAAAGTCAGGGTCTTTCCCCATCCCATGCTATCGAAGGCTCTGATGAGCAAGGTATTCGGACCAAGTTTCGTTCTAGATAGACTAGAAGCAGGGGTTGGCTTACACTTCCAGTAGCGTGAATCTGGGTCGGTCACAAAAATTGGCGCCTTTCTTGTCCAAGATGTCCCTGGCTACATCTGCGCTATTGAGCACGACTGTGGAACGACCTAGGGACCGGACATGTATGATATCTGAATCTGTTGAAGGTAATGTCAGGGGCGAAATATTCATCTGCATGTACTGAGGTCAAACTGACTGTATTCTTTCGACCATTTCGCGTATACTGCTGCAGCATTCTCCTTGGGTATAACACGGGAATGGCCAAGAAGAAACTCAGAAGGCGGACCAGGTGGAAGTGGTAGCGTAGGTCGAGAGCGCCAATGGGCCCATGCAAGAAGCAAACCAGTAGCAACGGCAAGCGTCAGCCCAGTGAAGGCTTGAGATTGGTAGTGCTCTATCATGACTCGAGCTTGGCCAAAGTGAGATCGAGTTTGAGTCACTTTAAGTGAATGGAAGAGATAAGAATTGCTTGAGAGAGTTGAAGTGATAATTGGAGCGAATAAGCCAGGGAAGGAAGCAAATGTCCAGCTAAAGAATCAGGCAATGATCTCAAGTTGCTTCACTGAATCACGCACGACATGGCCACAGGTATTCCTAACAGGGACAGAGCAACCAACTATCTATGAGCCATCCGCATTCAATAACCTCCATCCATCGTTCCTTCCTTGAATCTCTCCGGTTCCACCCATCCTTGACCCATGTGGTAGCTGAAGGTTAGCACCTTAAGGCGGGTAACTAAGGACTTAGTAAGTAGGCGAACCAAGGATGGCCGGGGAATTGTTGCAAGTCTCTCAATTTACCGATTTATTTGTAACAGCAAAGTACTTGTCCAGTACTCAGAGTGAGCAGGGAATGGTTTGGAAGGTGTGACATCCTCTAAAAGCAAACGCTGTTGCTGGCTTTCTGATGTATCATTATCGAGACCAACAGAAAATGCAACAGTCGAACGGGCATTGAGAGAGAGAATAAGAAGCTTCTGGTTACCGGGAATATGTAAACTGATCTTCTTTCCGGACCCACCTTCCCATGTGCATCCTTTGACCCTGGTTGCGTGAGAGATAAGGAATTACTAGAGTTGTAACTAGTCTTCACATTTACACATCAGGACAGTCTCTAAACGACTTGGCTGTCGTGTTAATACAGAAAAGGTTTTAGCCGATAATATGACGCATTTTGTGGATAAGTCATTTAGCCTAAGGAATATCAGCTTGATCCTCCAATACCAGCTCATATGATGCAAATGTTTGCCTTGTTGTCTCGGTTGTTGTCACATTTTGTCTGCGACCAAGCGATGCCCACGATGCGATTGGCTACATTTGTTCCCTCAACAAATCTCGGTTCCGTTCCTTCGGGCCCAGATCCTGGTTGCTTTACCTCTCGCTACGCGAAAGTCAAAGCATCCGCCGTAAGCTGCAACCCCTGGGAAACAGAGCGCACCGTCTCGTTTAGTAAACAAAGGGAGCGAGAAGGGTCCGCTAATAAGCTAGGTAGCACTCGACTTGCTTCTAAGCTAAGGATTTAGTTGCCGCAGCTGTACAAGGTCGTTGTCGAACTGATTCATGTGCTGATTTAGCTACGGATCGGCGGCTCAGAAATAGAGATTGGGCGAGACAATGTGGCTCAATACCGACGCTAAAGTCAGGAGCCGGCACTTGTCTTGTCATAACTGTCCTTGGTCTGGTCTGTTGCATATGCACCTAGAATAAGGCCTAGGTTCAATAGTGCCTTTGGGCATTGCAGGAGGGAGTGCGGAGGTAAACAAGGGTACATTACAGCTCATGACGCTCCACGAGTTGCGGAATTGTCTTTGCTGATGATAGGTGGTCTGAATACGGTCCCGGGAATATGATTGGAAGAAACAGTTCCTTCTCAATTTGAAACATTTCCCATCCTCGCTGCTCCATCTACGGGCAGGTAAACAATGGCTTTAATAGCGACAAGGAGGGCAGGACAAAACAACCCCACACCAAACTTGATGACTTTCACCTTCCACTTGCACATGCCCCTCAGCTCTCTAACCTTCCTCGGGCAGGCGGGATCCATCTTTTCCACATGACTCGGGTCGTCTCAATAACAGCGGCTCAAGTTGACAACTTCTTTCTTCACCGCAAGCTGAACGTGTCAATACATATTGTGAACGAACCATCTTTAAAGTTTGCGGCTTCACCGGCGAATCCTTGTGCGCAAACGCTGAGAAAAGCAAATAAACGGACTTGTTTCAATCATTGCTTTTGCGCTCGGCCTCTCTCTGACGCCACCTACAGACACGCGGGCCATCGGCTTTCGGCTGTCAATACTCACCCCTGACGTGACAATTCAACTACGGGGTACGGATACTACTACATCCTCAACTACACACAGACATCATCATATTGCGAAAGCAACACCAGCCTCGATTCAGCCGCAGTAACCCGTTCAGCAAATCTCTTCCAACCCACCTCTAAGATGGCTTCTCACGCTAGCACTCCACACATCACCATTCTGGGCTCCCTCAACATGGATCTCGTTTCCTATGTCCCACATCATCCCCTTCCTGGTGAAACCCTCACCTCAAACCATTTCAACACTTCGCCAGGCGGTAAGGGCGCTAATCAAGCTGTTGCTTGTGGCAAGCTCTCTCGAGACTCAGACCTGTCCAATCCTTCGGCCGTCGTCTCTATGGTGGGTGCTGTTGGCGCCGATCCTTATGGCACCCTCCTGCTTGATAGCCTGCGCTCCTTTGGCGTTGCTGTCGATTCTGTAGCCATCCGCCAAGACCAGAAGTCTGGCCTAGCTATCATCATTGTGGATGAGCCCTCTGGCCAGAACCGCATTATCTTGTCTCCTGAAGCCAATCATTCTCTTCAGCCTGCTGAGTTTGAGACCCTTCCTGGCCCCCGTCCTGACCTTCTGATCATGCAGCTCGAAATTCCTTTCGATACTGTCATGCAGGCTCTGAAAGCTGCCAAAAAGGATGGTGTTCCTGTCCTTCTCAATCCAGCACCGGCTCAGCCCTTGCCTATGGATGCCTACGATGGGCTGGCCCATCTCGTTGTTAATGAGACCGAGGCCGCCATTCTTGCAGATTGTGCTGAGTCTGAGCTTGATGACCTTCAAGGCTTGGACCGCATTGGCCGTGTCTTCATTGATCGCGGAGTCCACAATGTCATCATCACCCTCGGAGGCCGTGGTGTCTATTTCGTCAATAAACAAGGCCAGAGTGCATTGCTTCCGGCAACTAAGACGAACGTAGTGGACACCACGGCCGCGGGTGATACCTTTGTTGGTTCTTACGCCCTGGCCGTTGTAGCCGCCAAAGATGGCCAATTTAATATCGAAGCAGCTGTCGCGGCAGCCAATCGAGCTGCTGCCTTGACCGTTGCGCGAAAGGGTGCGCAGATCTCTATCCCCTGGAAAGACGAACTTTAGACAAGGTAGCAATACCGCTTTCTTCGTAGACAATCCAACAAAAAGCATTCGAATCTCAATACGTGTACGGTTTCTCCATTTTGTCTACTACCTGGGTCAGTCTAAAACCAGGACGCCCATCCCCATTTGCTTGCATCCTTTTTGCCTCTGCTGCGCGCTGGCGATGCTCCTCGGGGCTCCTCCACTTCCCGCTCCCTTGTCGTTATTGACAAACCCGCCATCAAAGGTAATAAGCCCCTGAGGGTGTCGGCGCCGAGTGACCCCCTCTTCCACAACGTGCTGCTGTCAGATTTGCCAGAAAGGGCTCTTCGGCCTTGAGTAGCAGGAGTATCAGTTCCATCTCGGCTGTGCTCTTCTTTCGGTCGTGTATGGGCCGAATTGCTCACCCCCGCGCCCCTAAAGGTTCCCGGCCCTGGCAGACCTTCACGACTCTGCCTAGACAAGTAGCTTGATGCATAGCTGCCACATCTGGATGACCCTTGTCTCAATCTCTGACGAGGTTGAGAGTGCTTTCCTCTATCATCGAGATCGACTTCAGTGCAGTCTCGTTGAAGGCTTGCCTTTCTGGGAGGAATCCGAGGCGTAGGGCTATGATTCCAAGTGGGCTTTCCATGTGTTCTATAGCCTGTCTTTTCTGAATGCTTCTGCTGCCAACAGTATGTTTGCTCTGAATACTTGGGGTCGTATTTTGCTGCAGCAATTTGTGCCATTACCTTCCTGGCGCTCATGGTCCCCCAGTGTCTCTCTACCAGTGGCAACAGTGGGTTGGATCTTGAAACCGGAGGAGGAGACCAAAGCGACCTGGCATTGTGGAGTTTCACGGAGGCTGTGGCTACCGTCTCAATCTTGCTGTGCATGCTGAACATGTCGTCCTCCGCAAATCCCGTATCTTGACACATGGGAAACGCCGAATTTCGATATGACAGCCGGACAGTCATGTAGCTCACGGTAGAATCACCCAACTCTTCCTTAAGCGCTTCTATCAGGTTGTCCGATTCTAACCGTGGACACTTCTGTTTACATCGCCGCATACCCTTTGAGACACGGACCTGCACTTGAGCTAGAAGAAAGATGCTAGATCCGGGGTCCAAGCGGTGACTATTCCCGTGAATCAGCGTGCGCCTTGGCCAGTATGGCAATCTCGGTCGTCTGTGTACTTACATGGGAAAGGGCTGTTCCTGGAGAATACGGACAACCGAAGATTCTTCCGTTGGCAGAATTTGGACGTCCAAATCGTTGAGACCACCATCATCGCCAATACCCCCAGCTATGTATGCCGTCAGTGGTGTTTGTTCAAGAAAGGGCCCTTTATGCGTACTCTCTTGGTCACATTGCGTGAAGCCAGCAAGATCCGTGAACAGATCTGGCCGCTCCTAACAGGCCCCTGGTTGGCTTTTCATTGAACTCTCCGGCCAAAGTCTGACAGAGAGTTCGATAGCCACCCAAAATCTATGGCAACCTTCTTCGATAGTCGTGGCTTCGGGTGTGATGGTAATCTGTGGTGTTGGCCAACGTTCTAGCCTTGGCCTGGGCAGTGTGTTGAAGGACTCCGTCAGTGCCATAGGTGGACTTCTTCTGAATAGTGGCGACTCCTCTTCTCGGCTTGCTGCATGAGGCGCCAGCGGTAACTGTGCATTAGACATAAAAGCCCTGTCATATATATTGGTCAGAGGTGGGCGGACCTTGACTGGTCGCCGTAGATCATACACCCCAGGCAATTCACTCGATATCGGGGCGGAGAACGGGTGGCCTTGTCCCAGTAGGCCCCCGGGCTCTGGGCACGTCTGTCTCGTCTTCCTGACTGATAGCTGGGGCGAGGGCGTGACCCCCAAGCGTAGGGGTGGACTATCCTCATTCTGCACCTAGCATTTGGCTTCGCGCAGGGTTGGGCTTCCTTGTTCTGGGTCATCATGTGGCCATCTCAAGTTTTCTTTATCTGCGTCTGCTTGTCCTGAGTTGATCTTGCGTCTCTTGGCGACTGTAAGAGACCCATCCCCCTGAATTGACCGCCTGTGTTTAGAGCTACTTTGGTTAGAATGATTTGCTGTATGCCGCTTATTCATGTTCCCGTCAGCTTTCACAATTCTCAAAGGGCTCGGCTTTTCGCAGGCAAAGCTAGGATCCGAGGCGCAAATGCCCCAGTAGGGAGGATCTTGGTAACTTTGGTTCGACATCGAGATGTATACTGTAGTGGCGGATGAGACTGGGCCCTCCTTTAATGTGTATCTCTGGTTCTTTTAAGTAATGAAATTGAATCGGTGAGCTTTTAATTTGGGTCTTGCGAGTCTCATATAGTTTATGGTCAACGATGGTGGCTGTTCCGTTTTGGTCAGGGAACTTATACGGTGCGGTAAGTAATGTGAGATTGCAAGAATGTTGAGAACGATCAAAGTTTTGAGATGCAACAGTAGCATGCTTTATGCATACAATGAGGAGGAAGACGATGTTGTTGTTGTGATGAACATTCTTGGTTGAGATTCAACTACTGGAGACGAACGAAGCGTAAAGCAACCTAAGGTAGGTACCTAGTAGTTTGAGAGGGTTCTTAGGGGTATCAGAGTTGCTCTTGCTATTCGAGCGAACAGAGTAAAACGGAAGATCATGCTATGCTAAGGTAAGACAATACCTAGGTGAAGAGTTGCTGCCTTGTTGTCGAGAGCAATGCCTTTGAGCAGCAGCTACCTAAGGCACAACTGCAAGGCCACATCCAGAGAAGTCGAAAACACCAGAGACTTAAGCATATAGGAGTCCTAAGGTAAATTGAAGTTCATGTAGCTTGCCCAAGTGTTCGCCGCAGATTGTCCTTCACCGAGTCGATATCGGTGTCCTCCATCGCAAGAAACTTGATCTACGTAGAATTAGTAGAGCTCTTTCGCTAGCCATGATAGGGGCAGAAGACTTACCAGGTCATCGGAATTCTTGGTCTCTCCATAGAGGACAGGCTCCGACAAGCTTGCAGAGACGTTCTTCTTGACTCTATCCTCCCAGACTCCATCCCAATTCCATTCTCCAGGTCGTCTTGGCGTAGCCGCAGATGACCCCGATTTCACGCTCTCTGGCCTATGCTCGCTCTGCTCTTGTTCCTTCTGCTCTTCCTCCGCAGTTGTATCTTCCACCAGCTTCCCCGTTGCTTTGCGGTGCGTTCTCCATGCGTGCCAAGCTCCTGGGTTCCCTGCCGCCGCCAGGGGTACAGAGTCGAGAACTTCTTCTGTATCAAAGGCGCTGCGGATGTAGTGTAGAACTTCATAAGCCGAGACACTCTTTTTTCCAGTGCGCATATACGAAGGTGTTCCTGATGATGGGTTTGCTGATGTTGTGGAGTTACTGGTCGAAACAGGACTCGTCACTGGCGCTTGTTTCGCTTCCACCATACTCCGTCGTCCTCGTCCGAACCAGTCCGGGAATCCATGTCGTAAGCTGAAGCCTCCTGGCGGTAATCGCTCTTGATCTGAGGCACTCACTGTGCCGCTTTCTTGAATGTCGGTTGTGTACATGTATGTTGTCAAGGGTGTGATGAGAGGATGGAACATGTCTGTTGAGAAGACGACGAGAGGTGGGAGTTGAGGATACGAGTCGGGAAACGATATTTGAAATCTTAGTATAGCAGGGCAATAGGGGCCTATGAGAATCACAAGATCAGCATCATATGTCAAGGCCTGGAGTCGAGGAAGCATGCGAGTGTTGGTTACCTTTGCGAACGAAGAGAACACCAGACCAGAGCGTGGCATCGCCTGGGGTTAGACTAACAAATATACCATCAGGGCATGCTTGCTTGAGTCCAGCGCTAGTTTATATGTTAACACAGTACTTTATGGTGTGTCTTAGTAGAGAACAAACAATTCTGAGAGGAGCTGCTGTTTGCGCAGCGAGGGCAATGCGCTCATATTATTGAAGGGCGGCATTGGTGTTACAGGTGCAATCCGGTATCGAGATGCTGTGTATCGTGGAGTTGTATTATATCGGGAATCTAGGCGTAGGAAATGAATTGGCTTTGGAGATCGTGTCGCATTTGTTTGTCGTTATTAGATCTCCAAGCTTGAGAGCTTTCGGATGCTATCTGGCAGGCGGTGAAGGCTTACAGCTAACAATTTGGTGGTGTGTATTCATGCGCTCCAAGCCATATACCTACCAAATGCAGAATAAATATTGATCTCATTTACAATGAAGAACCCTAATTTCTATTATTCTTCTTTTACTTACTTACAGGAACTATAGGAAATATAGGCACGCTGTAACACGTATCATGACAGCTTTAGATCCAAGGTCATGATGCTACTTCCACTACCCTACAGTTGCGCAGATTCTGCCATGGGCTAACCGCGGGGTCATCTCATGCTGGTGGGGTAAGTTGTGATATCACGATGCCGAGTGAAAACGAATGAGAAGCATTTGTCTATTCAAATACTTTTCTGAGTACTTTCCTATAGACTCATAATCGTAAATCGTAGCAGCACCTTCATCTCAATAAGATGCAAGCCATGGTCTATTCCCAAGCAAGTACTCCGTCATGAAACTTTTAAATCCTATCCTCAACCATGCATGCATGCATGTCCTCTTCTCATGATGGTATCTCGCAAATGCCAATAAAAGAAACAAAGACCAGATCTAGTGCCCGAGACGCTGCTCGATCTTGGCCTTCTCCTGTGCCCGGATCGTGGCCATATCGTCTCTTGTAGCGTTGTACGAAGCCGTGACTTGGTTGAAAGGGTTGTCGGGGTGCTTCTCAAACTCCTTTCGGATTCTAGTCTTCCTCTGATCCAGACGCAAGCCGACACCGCTGCCGTCCTTCTTCATCTCTTCGAGTCGTCGCTCTTCGTACTTGGCTAATGCGGCGGGGAATCGGCGTTCGGGATGTCGGTCGACCTTTTCGTCCTTTCCGCCTGTCAGAGCCAGAGCGTCGAGAGCGTTGTCGATACCAGATGCGCTGATGGCAGAGGGCTTATCGTCACCGTCGAGCTGCGCAAGATCAAGACCGCGCGACTTCTTGACTGGAGCCTTGGACTTCTTGGGGGCCTTTCCGGGGGTGTTGGCGTCGTCTTCGGCCTCAAGAGCAGCTTTCTCGGCCCTCTTCTTCTCAGCCTCAGCAGCCTTGGCAGCTTGAGCCTCCCTAAATGCGATGTCAGTGACCCATAGCTGCGCCCTCAAGCGACACCAGGACTCACTTCTTGGAGGTGTTCTTGGCACCCTTGTTCCACTTCTCCTCCTCGGCAGCTTCTTGACGGGCGTCGTTTGCGGCCTGCTTCTGGGCGGCAGCCTCGGCCTTGCGAGCGTTGCCCGCTACCTTCTTGCTGTTGTCACCCTTCTTGCCAGCCATTGCGAAAGCTCGGAAAGTGGGTGATGCGTTTGAGTGGTGGGGACGATGTCTACGTGGTACGAGTAGCAAATCGAATCGGAGAATAGTACTAGATAGGCGTGCGAAACGGAACGGGATGCTCGGCTGTTGTTGTTGCTAGGGAGAGCTGAAGAAATGTGGCTCTCCTGGGGTTTGTCTGGGGTTGAGTTGGGAAAAGTTGCGATGTCGTAACGTCGGAGACAGAGTCGGAGGATGGTGCCCAACTAATGACGGATGCCTGGGTCCTGAGTTTCTGGTGTACTGTGTGGATATATGCTTTTGGGGCCTGCTTCTACTGTGCTCTATCTAGCAATCACTTATACGGGATAGCTTGAGTCTGCTTGGCCATAATAATAACATGCCTAAAAATCATAGTAGGCATATTGACTGCTTCGAATAATACCTTACTAACAAATCGAGTGTCTATCCTCTATGATCGAGTACGTGGTATGGCAGCCATAACTTCTCAATCTCAACTCTCAAGGTTGATATCAGTCTTGGCCATTTGCAGTAAGTATCGGCGAACCTGATCATGAGCAAGATAACAACACACGCACACGCACTGCCATCCAATTCATGATACCACGGTATCACCATTAAACCTGGGAAATATTGAGTAGCATCACATCAGCATTAGTCCACTACTCGTCACGCTCGCTTAAAATGCTCCGTGACGCTTTTGTCAAATCATGACGTGAACTGTCATGCGCGAATCAGAGCCTGTAAGTTGTGAGACTTGAGAGGTACTTGGACAGACTCGACAACAAAGGCCTTTGCCCTTTTGCCTTACACTGCAGTAGTATCATGCCCCTGCCTCACAGTACAGTACAATACCAGCGACTTGCATCAATAGTCGAACCAGGCTGCTCACATGCTGACCCTTCAGCCTCAAAAATACATGGGCGCCTTGCATGGGTTAGTTAGCTCATGGTTGCACAGAGCTTCGGGTTACACAAGCAGGGGTTCTTAATGACTTGTTGGTGTCGATTAGTGTTAGCTCGACGAGACTACAAGTGTGAGATCAAGACCGAGAGTGAGGAAATAAGGCTATTGAGCAGGCCGTAGCTTGCGATTGACTTTGAAGATCCCGTCACCCCAGCATCATCACCTCGCACCACTCACCGTTTGCCTTGTATCGCGCTTATCATCTATACCAATCAACTGCTAATGTTTCAGCAACGACTATTACAACGAGGCGTATCACAATCAAGCCACACGCTCTTTGTTAGAGGCAACATGTGGTTGTCAAGTTAGACTATCCATGACCTTACGGACTTATACGGTACTTGGCTGGCTGTAATCGGCCCGCGACAACACCAACAAGAGATCTCCATGATCAATATACAAATCGGGTACAACTTTGCCTCCCTCTTGCATTCCCCGAACCGCGGTATCGGGACGCTCGAACGGTCACATCACCCAAAGGGTAGTTGTACTCTCACAACAGGCAACCAACTCGGATCCTCGTCTATGAGATGGGAGCTGAATCCATACCAATATTGACAATCAAGAGTTGGGGGCTGGCAAGAACTTGCACCTGTGCTTACCGCACATGACAACGAATCCTTTCCCCGGAATTATCGGGTGTAGAAACATGCGAGACGGCATGAACATCAACTCACCACTATCACTTGCGGTCAGCATATAACGCTACTACTGTGATTTCCATTCCTAAGATATGTATCTAGGCAGCCTGCTTACGCTCAACCGAGCCATGCAGACCCTTGAAGCTTCGCCTTGCAAAGAAACACATCCCGGGAATAATGTGACTCAGTAGGTAGCACATTGCCAGCAATGTTTCCAGATAACACGTCCGGATGGTGTACCCAAGCGAACGTGCCTTGTTAGTTCAGTGTCCGTAGGAATATCAACATTTGTTCCCTTTACATTCCCGTTTCAACCCTGCTATTCTGCAACCTCGCAGTCGAAATCGCGAGACAAGAACCATCCTCACCGATAAGTGAGACTTTGAGATACGTCAGATTAGAAGGCACGGGGCTCGAATATCCCTTGGCCCGGTTTCTCGTTTTGGTTGGATGCATACCGAGAAGTGAGATCCGTTGGAGGAAGATCCTTTAAGGGCTGAAAATAGCAAACGATCCTTGTAAATACGTATCCTTCCACTGCGAAGTCGTATCCAAATCCTCGTATAACATGGAATAAGGTGGCTTTTATTTCCGTGCTCGGGTTTCGGTGCCGTTTCCTGAGAGGACGAGTTACGAGTTGATCAGGTCTTGGCCTATGTGAGACCCAAGAGGTTGAACATAGGGTGTTTTAAGCTTGATTATGTGAGGGACCATGTTTCAGCATATCAGAGAAATGAAACATTTTATTCCCGTCCAATTTCATTAAGCACTGACTGGCCTGTATCAGTGATCTGTCACCAAGGAACCATATAGGAGAGGGTGGTTGAATACTACTATACCTGCCAATCACAACAACAAGCATACAAGTCTCAGGGTCATGAACGGAACAGGCCGGTCTTACTGAACCAAGGATTCCCAGGAGAACCATGTTGGCAACAGCAGAATAAAACGGGAAGCGAACTTTGAGGGCGCTCATATGAGTTCTGACAAAGCCACCAAATTTCCATGTATGTACTGTATGTATATAGTTGCAGATGGAGATATGTACGGATACATACATGCATACAACACACTTACAGTACATCCCGTGAAGCCCGGGCTGCCTGCTGCTCACTCACTTTGTCAAGGATGTAAGTAGGCTGCGAGACTGTGCCGTGTCTGAGCCCTAGGATTAATGGGCTTCACGACCAGGATGTCACGTATTCTGACGACTCTTTCTTTGCACGCGAGACTGCATGATTGAAGCGAGAAGTGACGAATCACTCAGCCATGCAAGCAGGTGAACCGAGGAGAGGAGGAGGATGAGAACTCGTTTTCGTCTCGGGACTGTAACAATGCAATACTGTCACCGCCGCCCGCAGCATGAGAAGCGTGAGCATCGCAACACTGAGGATATGTCCCCCCCTGGCTCCCTAAGCGAACACACTCATGCACGCCCGTGGACTATGAGAAGAGAGCCCCTGCTGTGCAACGTCGGCTCTCAGTCATGGTGTTGTTGATTTATGCGGGGAGCCGGTGAGATCCAAGCGCTGTTGGTGAAAGATTTTGGGCTGTTGGTCTGGCAGCAAAGAATGTTAGGTGGTACAGTGACTAGAGTGAGTGGCCTGCTAGGGCAGGGTAAGGTAAGGCAAGGCATCTGAGTCAAAGCCAAGGCAGTAGAAAATGGCATGGGGTGCTCAGGAATGGATCGACAGCAAGGGACCTGGAACAAGACCAAAGCAAGACAGACAGGGCAGAGACGAGCAGGGGATCGGACTTGGGGAGTAGCAGTAGGGTAAGGGTAATAAAGCAGGCCTCGTTTGTGGTGAGAGTGGAAGTGTATCCGTAATGTCATGTAATGTAATGTAATGTAATATGGATGCTGTGAGTGAGTGAGTTGTTCTGGTGAGCGAGGTCTAGGCTGGTCTAAGTCGGTGAGGTTATTTACGTTCACCGAGTTCAACATCATCCGACAAAACAACCTGGATTTTTACACCGTACGAACGGCAAAAGATTTTATTAACATATTTTTATTAGTGCCTGTATTTGCTTTTGTATTATGCGGCTGGTGAACAAGGCTGCATGCGGGAGATTATGTTTGGGCTGGACTTTTCCTAGGCCGTTCCCAAGAAATGTCCAAAGAAGCAAAAAGAAAAAAAAGGAGGATGACCCAGTGATCTGGATCAGCCCTTGTCCGTTTTCTGGTGTAGTAACTAACATAGACCACCAGATCAACAGTGAGATGAGATTCAATGTTGGAATGGCCAATCTCTGAACATCGCTGAGCGCTAGGCACTGTAAATCTCTAACCCCCAAATAGCTAATAAAACATGCAAAACTCAAAGTTGAGTGTATGTAACCCCCTCATATCGTATCGCGACAAAGTCAATGCGGCCTCATCTCAGAGCGAACGGACGTCATCAACGCAACGGTGCCAAGCGATCACCATGACGGATAACGAGGAAGCGGGGCCGGGTGTAGGGGCTCTTTTTTATCTTTCAGGCTCTAATAGTCAAACTTACAGTGAGTGCCCGAGTTGGGTTCCATTGTTGGGTTATTTCTTGTTATAGGTAGAGCCTAGTTAGAGGAGAGGGGAGGATGTATGTAGACGAAACTCTACTGGGTAATAATCTTGTTGATTGTTGCTTAAGCTTTTGTCTAGTCATGACTAAACCGGCCAGAAATTTGCTTTACCCGCGTGCGTGCGTAGAGGAGGGAGAGGTTCCACAATCTCGACTCAGCTTGTAACTTGTCTGTGAGTTATTGGTGATAATTCCTCATAAAACAAGGAGTGATAGTGGAGAGGACAGCAACAACAGCAACCGGAGACAAGAGTAATTATGACCAGTCTCTGTATCATCATCCCATGATAGTGTGATATTTCCCCCTCATCAGCAGCATCGTCATCATCATCAATTTGTCATGTCGTGTCGCGTTATGTTGTGGTGTCGCGGTTAGAGTTGCTCGAGTTTGTCGACTACCGCAACCGCTACCACTACAAGAGTTAACGTAGGATCTGTAACTTCTACTTGCGGTCGAAAGGGATGGATGGTCCAGATCCAATTCGTCCGGATCGTCAAAGGACGCTTCCCCGTTCATGGAGATGGATATGCAAATCACGGGACCCAGAGCCACCGTCACCCTCCCGTCTCTCTCTCTGTTCTGCTGTAGTCAGATCCTTACACAGCGGATCATACCCAGTAACAAAAAGCAATTGTCAGTCACAGGCAAGTCAAAGAGCCCAAAAGAAAAGAGACAGACACAAAAAAATTTGAAATTACTGGCTCTTTCTCCAGCCTCACTAAAATCACCCCCTCCCGTCCCGTCGTGACCTTGTCTACCTGAGGTATCCCCCCTCCACCCTCACTTCCATCCTCTCGCTGTCCTTTTTTTTTTTCGCCCACCCGCACGTTCGAG